TCCTGAAAAAAATTACAAATATTGAACCTGGCTGAACCTGATTTTCTTTAAGACTTAATGTGTGTAGCAGCACTTCTGAAAAAGTGAAAATATTTAAATGAGTACTGACAAAATCAAGTCATCATACTAACTCAGTACCAAAATCTGGGGATATACACACATGATCAAAACGTGAATTAGTGCATCTCAGGTTATTTCATTAGTGACAGTAACTGACAATAAAAATACTGATTTTTTTTCCTAGCTGAGAAATAAAACAAGCTAGTTTAGACAGCCTAGTTGGTGCAATTCTTAGCAGCAGTAACTCAGTGGACTCAGTGGACTGAGAGTTGAAGTATCATGAGTACTAACTCACTAATTAGTGACCACATCAGTCTTCTCATGAGCCCATAGCCCTAAATTTAAATCAATGTAGATGAGGAGGTTTTTGCTCATTCCCAGAGTGCTGCACCTGTCACTGCAAAATTAACCTGACAAGGACCATGCAAGTCTCAACAACCAGATCAAAGATTAACCAAGATCCATCAACTCATCTGAGCTTTTGGAATCGAACTCCCAAGTATGGCTGGGAATTTTCCCACTACATTCTGCTGCTTTATGGTTCTTTACTAAGCCAGTTGTGGAAAAAATCTTGGAAATTATGGTGTGATCATCCAGATCAATTAGAACTCAAGTAATTCAATTTACATTCTCCTTTCCAGACAATACACTGCAATTTCTACCAAAAGAAGAGTTTAAGAAAGAAGTCTAGAATATTTTGGAAGTCACCCAGCTAAGAGTGACAGCAACCCAAAAACTCTGGTCCAAAGCTGTGTGGATACAGATACCATTCAAAACCATCCAAGTAAGTGCCCAAATTTGTTCTGCAAGTATGATATGGGATGAACTAAGTATCATCTTTGGGAGGTATTTCCTACAAATATTTTTTAATTAGGTGAGAATTATGTAATATATTAAAAATGCTTGAGATAGCATTTATCTTTTTCATTATATATGCACATTTACTACTAGGAACGTGAAGGGTTTGTTTAGAGTACACAAGGAGGTAACACACTACTAGTATTAACGCTGTAGTAAAATTAAGGTTATCAAAGCAGTTCCCTGCCATGATATACTAAAAATTACATGAAGAATATTAGTTTACTGGATAGAATAAAAATTATTTCACTAATCTGCTCTAAACTCTGGTTTCAAGATTTCCCTATTTCTCCCAAAATTTCCTATGTAGAAAAAAAATATATATAAAGTTAAGCCTTTCCACAAAGACTTATGCAAAGTTAAGTTTTACATCACCCATTAAAAAAAAAAAAAAGCAAAAAGCAATTTTAAAGCAAAATTTTAAAGGCACTTTCCATAGTTGCATAAAGCAGAAACATCACTTTCATGCTACTTCCATCACTATAGCTAAGTACTAGAAAACTTAGCCACAGTAGTTCCTATTCCACCTTTCCATTTGAAGGTACAGGATGCAAAAGGTTAGTACTGTCAGGGCTACATGGCGCCTAGAGTTCATTTAGTTATTTGCTGCAAATCATCCATCTGAACTGCAGTATCTTTTAGAAAACCAGGTACCTCCTAAATAATTAAACCTTTTACTTAATATAATACAATACTCAAACCAAGTGCTTCTTCAGCCTTCTTAATTCTGTGAAGAGTCAAATTTTACTGCTGCTGCCCCTTCCAAAAATACATTTTCTTTCTGCTTACAAAAATGACAGCATAATAAAATAACATGATTGTATACATGACTCTTGAGGTACCACAACATTTGTATGGCTTAACATTTCTAGTAAGTTTTGTTTTACCTGTCCTGAATGTTCTTCCTGACAATAAGGAAGTAAGATTTAATAAGTCGTTCAATCACTTCACAATCTCGTTGCTCACGGGCAGAAAGTTTGCGCGCAACAGGTACAGGCTATGTGAAAAAATAAAAACCTCAGTTTAACATTTCTGCTCG